TAGGTCAGCACCACTCACCAAGTTCGTAGAGAACGAGGGAAGGTAAAGACCAGACAGGGTGCCAGAGGGGGCCGCCGGACACGGGAGGACAGTGGAGAAGTGAGCAAGGACAGGACCCCTAGAGGGGTCTGCCAGAGAGACTGCAACTGGCCGGCTAAGCGGCGTGAGTGTGGTGCGGTCTCGAAAGAAGGAGCGAGAAGCCCCCGAGTCAAGGGTGAAGGTGTGGGAGGCTGAAGCCGACGCAGAACCTGAGAGAGCAGACTCACCAGCACCTGAGGGAGCAGACGCACCTAGAGCAGCAGCCTCGCTAGCACCTAGAGCAGCAGCCTCACCAGTACCTAGAGCAGCAGTCTCAATGCCCGGGTCGGGCGGAAAACACCGGTAACAGTCACCCTCATCACTAATAGTCACAGTATACATGGCAGCAAGAATAGCATCAAAGTCAAGGTCAAAGACAGCCACACCCGCCCTAGACAGCTCACCCCAGCGGGGGATCTCAGTGGCCTCAGGGAACTGGTGACGCCAAGCGTCCGTCAGGCGGCCAAAGCAGCGCTGGGTGGAGTGCGCACCCCCGCACTGCTCACCCGCGCGGTCGCCGGTGCGGAGGACGTAGGTGCACGGACCAGTACCCCCACCCCTCTGGCGTGCAGTGTACCACTCACGGAGCTGCTGAGGGGAGGGGATGTCACGAGTGCGCTGCTGCTGCTGCTGCTGCTGCTGCTGGCGCTGACCACCACCGGAGCCGACCCTCTGCGCAGCGCCACCCCGACCAGCTCCACCTCCTCCGCCGCCTCCTCCTCCACCGCCGCCACCTCCACTCCCTCCGCCACTGCCGCTGCCGCCTCCGCCTCCACTGCCGCCACCGACACCTCCACCCCCGCCACCACCCCCACCGCCACCCCCACCTCCTCCACCGCCTCCACTGCCGCCTCCACCGCCCCCGCTAGCTCCTCCAGCGCCCCTGCCCCCCTTGCCCTTGCCAGGGCGGCGTCTCCCGCTAGGGGTAGACGCCGCCTCGACCGACTCAAGCCCTACGAGGTCGGCCGCAGCAGCAGAGGCAACAGAGGGCAAAAGGGGGGAGGGGGAACACCCCTCAAAGATGGGGGTGCGAGGGTCACCACGAGAGGCTCCTAAAGCCACTATGCTCTTCTCTGCTGCTAGGAGGGACTTCTCGAGGAGGTCAACGGTGAGAGTGGTGGGGCAAACTGAGAGGAAGTGGTCCCTGACTACGCGAAGGGAGTCAGGGAGCCGGGTGACTATGTAGTAGAGGGTGATGTACATGGGGGGGGGGTTTCTTGGCGCAGAACTCAGCAGGAAGCGCAGCGCGGTAGCGAGTGTCACTAGTGCGTAGGTGCGTAATGAGGTCAGCGACTGTGGGAAAGGCAGCAAGGTCAGGGAAGAGGTACGGTAGCATGAGGCGACTCAGTGCAGCAGTGGCAGGGGAGGAGTAGCGTGCAACTACAGCGTCGTACAAGGTCTGAGCACTCTTGTACTGGCTAAAGTGCGCACGCTCAGAGGTAGGCAGGTGGCGACGCACAGCAAGACGTGCAGCAGCATCGCGCGTGGCCCACTGGGAGCGAACAGTTGCGTCAGCATCAGTGGCGGGGGCAGGAGAGGCACCAGAAGTGAGGTCAAAGAGGGAGAGGCCGTCTGCCCTATCGCACTGTAAGAAAAGCTGCAGGTCATCTATCCAGACGTCAAAGTCAATGGCCCGACCCTCAGCGTCAAAAGCGAGGACACTAGGGGTAGCCATGACAGCAGTAGACTAGCAGCGCAAACAGTGGGGTGAGGGCAGTGCTGTGAGAGAGGCGCTGCTCTTACCGGACAGGGCGGCTCGGGCGGCTCGGCTGCAGGGCGGCTCGGCGACTCGGCTGCTGGGCGGCTCGGCTGCTGGGCGGCTCGGCGGCTCGGCTGCTGGGCGGCTCAGCGGCTCGGCTGCTGGGCGGCTCGGCGGCTCTGCTGCTGGGCGGCTCGGCTGCTGGGCGGCTCGGCGGCTCGGCTGCTGAGCGGCTCGGTGGCTCAGCTGCTGGGCAGCTAGGCTGCTGGGCGGCTCGGCGGGGCCGCTGAGAGGGCGGCGTCCGGGGCCGTTGGGAGGAGGCGGCGGGGCCGCTGAGGGGAGGCGGCGGGGCCGCTGAGAGGAGGCGGCGGGGCCGGAAAGGTAGGTGGCGGGGCCGCGTCAGGGGCCGCGACAGGGGCCGCGTCAGGGGCCGCGTCAGGGGCCGCGGCAGGGGCCGCGTCAGGGGCCGCGACAGGGCCGCGTCAGGGCGCCGCGTCAGGGGCCGCGTCAGGGCGCCGCCAGGGGCCGCGGCAGGGCCGCGTCAGGGCCGCGCAAGGGGCCGCGGCAGGGGCCGCGTCAGGGGCCGCGTCAGGGCCGCGTCAGGGCCGCGGCAGAGCCGCGTCAGGGGCCGCTTCAGGGCCGCGGCAGGGGCCGCAGCAGGCCGCGTCAGGGCCGCGTCAGGGGCCGCGGCAGGGCCGCGTCAGGGCCGCGGCAGGGGCCGCGTCAGGGCGCCGCGTCAGGGGCCGCGTCAGGGCGCCGCCAGGGGCCGCGGCAGGGCCGCGTCAGGGCCGCGTCAGGGCCGCGGCAGAGCCGCGTCAGGGCCGCGTCAGGGGCCGCTTCAGGGCCGCGGCAGGGGCCGCGTCAGGGCGCCGCCAGGGGCCGCGTCAGGCCGCGTCAGGGCCGCGTCAGGCGCCGCCAGGGGCCGCGTCAGGGCGCCACCAGGGGGCGCGTCAGGGGCCGCGATAGGGCGCCGGCAGGGGCCTCGTCAGGGCGCCGCCAGGGGCCGCATAGGGGGCGCGTGGGAGGCGGCGTAGGGGCCGCGTAGGGGCAGCGTAGGGGCCGCTAAAAAAAAAAAATTTAGGGCAGGGCGCAATGTGCGTGGGCAGCTAAAAAACAAAATTCTTATGGTGGGCCCTTAGGAAGGAACGGTCCCATGTAGGAACCCGCTCTATACCATGTGAATCAAGAAAACAGGAATGAAATGACTAAGTGAAAGTTGGGTACAAAAGGCAAACCCTAGGAAACTGTACCCCATATGTGCTACTCCACTATAGCCTACAGTAGCTATGTCAAATAACTCTGACAGGGGCTAGTGCTTGGAGGGCGGAGTCCAGTGGTCCTCACTGGTCACGCAGACGCGTCTTGGGTTGACGACCTGGCTACTCAGCGGTCGTCACAGGGTTACACCTTCAGCCTTGGTTCCGGCTCTGTTTCGTGGTGGTCTACTCGCTCGTCTTCTGTTCTCAGCTCCAGCTGTGAGGCTGAGATCTACGCAGGGGCCATGGCTGCACAGGAGTTACGCTGGCTCACCTACTTGCTGACTGACCTGGGAGATCCGCCTCGTTCTCCTCCAGTTCTGTACGTAGACAACAAGGCTATGTTGGCCTTGTGTCGGGAGCACAGACTGGAGCACAGAACGAAGCACATTGCTCTTCGCTACTTCCTTGCTCGTGAGCTGCAGCAGCGTGGTCAGCTGCGCCTTGCTTACGTGGCCTCTCAGGCCAACACTGCTGATATCTTTACCAAGGCACTTCAACCTTGTGATCATCAGCGCTTCTGTACTATGCTAGGTCTTGTGCCTACTTGGCCTCACTTGCTTACCTCTTGACTTTCCTTGTACTGTGATCTATATATACCTGCACTTGCTTGTTTACCTTTATATATGAACTTGCATGTGAACTGGCCTTGTGGCCTTTGAACCGGTGCTCAGACTGTGTGGTGACGTTGTGATCCACCCTGAGCTTGCTTTGCTTTGCTTTGCTTGACTGGTCTTGTGACCCCTAGTTCTCCCCCACTTTGCCTATGGGGGTGTGTCAGATGTATATGCCTTAGCCTATGTAGGCTGTAGTGGGGTAGACACTAAGGGGTACAGGTTTTATATTTGTATCTCACACTTTCCTAGTTGATTCATTCCTGTTTAATTCTTCACAATCCACTGGAATAAAAGGGCTTGTTCCAAATGCGGGTCAGTGCACCCAAACCTCTGTCATAATCCCAACCACTAGACCATTGGGATAAAATGGCTTGTTAAATAGCGGGCCGGTGCGCCCATAACCCCCAAGGACAACGAGTCTGTAACCCTTCCCTAGGATCAATCGGGGATCACAAGTGCACCTCTAACACCCCCTCCGCACTTGGATGCCCGAACTGCACACACTGGGATTCGAACCCGAGACCTTCGCTCTGATACCATGTCATAATCCCAATCACTAGACCATTGGGATAAAAGGGCTTGTTAAGTAGCGGGTCAATGCGCCCATAACCCCCCAGGACAACGAGTGTGTAACCCTTCCCTAGGATCAATCGGGGATCACCAGTGGACCTCTGACAACCCCCCACCATGCGAACATTCCTATAACTCTCCTAGGATCGATCGGGGATCCCCTGTGCAGATCTACGGTACTGACAGTTTAACTACAATAGCGTGGAACATCCTTATGAACAAGGCGTTGGTCGCCCAACTGCGATAGTAACCACTATTGCGACCATCGCTATTGACATGCAAGAAGCACGCACGCTACATAGCTTCTGCTCGTTGGTCACCCCACTTTTTTGGACCTCGCGGATAGGACAAGAAGTGGCGACGTCAGGAGAAACATGTGACATGCAACCAGGTGTCGCCGTGAGTGACGTGCTGCAACCTAATTTGCAGCACGGTGTTTGACGAATTTGTCGTTCTTCGTGCACCATCGCGAATCCGTATTTCTGGGCGACCAGGTGTTTCCGATTTGCAATGTGGGGTTTTCTGGCAAAAACCGTCGCAAACAATTGAGGAGACAAATGTTGACCAAAGAGCCGTAACATAAAGGATGTTCCACGCTGTCTTTGCTCACATTTGTACTCGTTTGACTCACTAGTGCAATCTTCAGTAATTGCAACCCGTATCATAAACCAACGATTTGACCCATCTTAGAGGTAAGGTGGCGGGAATATGCAATGCTCGTTGGACTAACGATATTGATGCAAGATACCCCCACGGCGTTCAGAATTTTGGGCGGCGTTCATGGAATCCCTCCGCCATAGCCAACATGACAGCGCCCCTATAAAATGCTCCAGCCGTGATGATGACAATGTCGAGAGCGACGCGGCCTCGCGCGACCCGATCTACCTCGACTACAATGCGACCACTCCTATCGGTGCGACTCGGGCAGTACCCTCGTGCCGCCTCACATTGCTGGAGCTTTTGCATTCGTTGACGTGTCCGCACCCACCAGCTCGAATCCGTGCCTCCCGCTTCTCTCACCCTCTCTGCGGATCCCTTCTCCCTCCTCATCTCCCCGCTGGTGCCCCGCTCTCCGTGCGAGGCGGCGCGCAGACCCCGCGGTAGCGGAGGAGATGATTCCCGTGCTGCGCGCGGAGTTCGGCAACCCGTCCAGCGCGCACGCGCTCGGGCGGAGGGCCAACGCGGTTGTGGAGGGCGCGCGGGCGCGGGTGGCGCAGCTGCTCAACTGCTCTGCGGATGAGGTACGGGCCAGCGAGGGTGGCAGCAGGATGGTGATTCTATAACGCGTATGCCGTGAGCATAAAGTCGAAGTGCGAAGGCGTGGAACCTTGGCATGCCGCAACGAGTAGAAACCGAAACCCGGATTGCTGGTCTTCTGGCAATGATCACCACTGGCAAATTGGGTTTCAACGAACATGGTTACTGGCTCGAGCTTCGGACCTTTGACCGCAGCCGCAAATTGGCCTGAGAATACTCGCGCCCTGAGGCGTTGATCGCTCTGCGCTGCTCCTCTTCCTCACAGCACGGCGGTGCACCTTCGCAGCACGGCGGTGTGTGCGCATGCCCACTCCCGCTGCACCATCCAATCACTTTTAAGCATGCGGCGAGCGTGAGAGGTGCTGATGCTGTACTGTGTGCGCGGGCAGTGCAGGTGGTGTTCACGAGTGGAGGCACGGAGTCCAACAACTGGGCCATCAAGGGAGCTGTCTCCGCCTATACCACCACCTGCTCTGCTCCCGCCGCTGCTGCGCCCGCTGCAGTGCTGGCGCCACACGTGGTGATATCGGCAGTGGAGCATCCAGCAGTGACGGAGGTGGTAGAGCATGTGAGGGCGGTGGCAGGCTGTGAGGTGACGGTGGTGCCTGTGGACGCACATGGCATGGTGTGTGTGCACCAAGTCATGGCTGCAGTGCGCCCCACCACGGCCATCATCTCCATCAGTACGCTCTCCTCCTCACCTCACTCTCCCTCCGTCCTTCCTCACTCCAATCAACCCTCCTCGTCTCTCCTCACTGCAATCGTTTCTCCTCCCCTGTCGTACTTCTCACAATGACCTGTGGCTTGAGTGCGAGTACAGCCCCTTGCTTCGTCACAGTCACTCACAGTCGTTACGAAACACACTGCCCCTCCACTGATGCCATTCTTCGCTCCACCGCTGCTGCTGCTGCTCCTTACACTTCTCCAACACCCCTCATGTCCAAGCTTCGATGCGCCCACTCGAGTGTCCATTGGGCGTCTCAGCAAAGCCATTGCGCTCTCTTGTCTCTTACTCGCAGTGCTGGCGAACAACGAGGTGGGGTCGCTGCAGCCCATCGCACGCATCGCTGCTGCCCTCACAAGCCACAAAGCGGCCGTAGCGGCACAAGCCCTGCAAGATGCAGCGAAGGCAGGATCAGACAAGGCAACAACAACAGCAGCAGCAGCAGCAGCAGCAGCAGCAGCAGCAACAGCGGCAGTGTTTCCATATCTGCAGACGGACGCCAGCCAGGCGGTGGGGAAGATCCCCGTGGACTTTCGTGCTCTCGGTGTCGACCTGCTCACTCTTGCCGCCCACAAGGTACTGCCTGACTGCCTCTCAAACCACATATTGTGCGTCTATCCTGCATAGCTCTCCCACCCATGGCAAAGCATAGTGTGCTGCCAGGCCGCCTCTTTCACTTGCCACTCCCGCCATGTCACACACACCATATTCTGCTATCATGTCCTCCTCTCCACTCCTCCCCAGCTCACACCGAGTGCTCCCTCTCCGCTCTACTGCCCCCCTCCGCCTGCAGCTGTATGGCCCCAAGGGCGTGGGAGCGCTGGTGGTGCGGCGGGGGGTGCACCTACCGAAGCTGATGCATGGGGCAGGGCACGAGAAGGGCAGGCGCGCAGGCACAGAGAGCACCGTGCTGCTGGCAGGACTGGGGAAGGTGGGACCTCAGGGAGAGGGTGGGAGGAGAGAGGGAGATGACTGGGTGGGGGAGTGAAGGCGAGGGGGGCACAAGGGGGAGGGGGATTAAGGGAAGAGGGGAAAGAAGGGCAGTCAACGCAGCAAAGTGCAATGCACATTTTCCGTGTGTGAGGGAGATTCGAAAGCAACCACATTCGCTGCCTGTTTTTACTGCTCTTACGCGTGCACTCCTCCCACTTCATTCCTGTGTGCACTCTTTGCCGGCCAGGCATGTGAGCTGGCGCGCGCTTGTCTCCCGGGCGACGCAACACACAGCGAGCGCATGCGCAGCAGGCTGCTGCACGGCCTGGCACGCCGCCTGTGCCTTGTGACGCCACAGGCAGTCACAGGGGAGGGCGAGGGCAACACAGTGCCAGGGATGCAGAGCAGTGACGATGCTGCTGCTGCTGCAGCAGAGGGTGATGGGGAAGGTGACAAGGACAGGGTTCGGTTCAGAGTGAATGGGCCATGTGACCCAAGGCAGCGCCTGCCCAACACTCTTAGGTCAGCCTCTCTCTTCCTGTACCCAGTGTACCCTTATTCCACTTTCCCCTCCACCACTCTTGGATACCGTGGCATTCCTGTCTATTGCCTGTAGTGCAGTGTGTCATCATGATTCCAAGCACTGTACCCTAGCTGCTCCAGCCCATTGCCTTGTGCTGCTTGCTGTAGCGTGTCTTGGAACCCTTGTTTCTTTTGACTTGCTTCCATCCGTGAGATCCGAGTCTGCCATGACACACACTCTCGCTAGCTTTGGTGACTTCGCTCTACCCATCTCCTCTTCTCCGATTCGCCCATCTCTCCCTCCACGCACTCCCTACCTTCATGCCTCCCTACGCACAGCCTCTCCTTCGAAGGCCTGCACGGCCCCACCCTCATGGCGCGACTCCTCCCCCGAGTCGCATGCAGTGCCGGTGCTGCCTGCCATTCCTCTCCCGCTCCCCCCTGCCCCGCCCCTGCCGCCTCTTCCCCGTCCGTCAAGCCAGCAGCGTCATCAGCCTCTGTGAAGGGATCGTCTGTGCTGGAGGCGATGGGGGTGGATGGAAGGTATGCAGGGTGCACTGTGAGGGTGAGTGTGGGGCGGTGGACAACGGAGCAGGAGGTGGATGCTGCAGCACAGATCATTGCAGATGCTGTCATGCAACTCAACAACGAGCAGCAGCAGCAGCAGCAGCAGCAGCAGCAGCAGCAGCAGCAGCAGCAGCAGCAGCAGCAGCAGCAGCAGCAGCAGCAGCAGCAGCAGCAGGTCTGATGTCTGATTTGTCTGATGGGTAAAATACTTTGTTTACCCTTTCTGTTGGTCTCTTTCTTTGACTTACGGTACCCTGATCAAGGCAGTATAACCAGATTGGTACCAGGGCTAATTTTATCAGTGTAAATCACCCTGATACACTGATAATCAGGATGGTTTTTGGTAGTCACTGTCACACTGATGCCTTAAGGTAAATTTGTCTGTGTCAGAATCCCAACCACCAGACCATTGGGATAAAAAGGCTTGTTAAGTAGCGGGTCAGTGCGCCCATAACCCCCCAGGACAACGTGTCTGTAACCTTTCCTTGGGATCAATCGGGGATCTCCAGTGGACCTCTGACAGTCTAGAGCAGGGCTGATTTTATCAGGGTAATTACCCTGATTTCAGGGTGATTTCAGGCTTTCCACTTCGTGGAGACTGAAATTTCAGAGTTATTGAATTTCCAGCCCTGATCCAATCAGAGTAATAGTTTAGCTATCCCTGATTTTGAGTACAGTGTAACAGACTAGGCTGTTAGTGGACCCTGACTTAACAGAGTATCGACTGTGTGGACCCTGACTTATCGAGAAGAAGTTTCTCGGAAGTTTCCTTCCGATGACCCCGCCTTGGATTGATCGCAGTGATCCCCCCACATGTGCGTAATCCCCCCCCTTCCCGCTTTATCGAGACGAAGTTTCTTCGAAACTTCGTTCTGATCGAAACTTCGAGACTTTTTGGAGATTGGGGATATTTTCCCCGACTTACCGGAAGAAAGTTTCTCGGAAGTTTCCTTCCGATGACCCCGCCTTGGATTGATCGCAGTGATCCCCCTACATATGCGTAATCCCCCCCCTTCCCGCTTATCGAGAAGAAGTTTCTTCGAAACTTCGTTCTGATCGAAACTTCGAGACTTTATGGAGAGTGGGGATATTTTCCCCGGTAACAAAGCGCGCGTTACTACTCTGATGTTCAGTTCTCGACCCTGAACAATCAGTGTTAACTAATTTACAACCCTGAGCAATCAGGGTACTGCTTTTCTGGAAAATGTGCACCCATAATAGAGGGGGAAAATTTTCCCCGGAATCAGGGAAGCTTAAAATGAAACGTCAACCCTGGTCTAGAGCTTAGATTTTCCTGATACATGCCAGGGTTTACGTTTAAGACACACTGTCGCCCCAGGGTTACCGTTCTTATTAACGAGTTTTACCCTGAAGCGAATACCACACCCCTCCCCCCCCCCCCCCCCCCCCCCTCCTCCAACCCCCCCACCAACCCGCCCCAGCACTTCTGTCCCCCTAATTAGACATATGCAATAAATATAAAAAGGTTGCTGAAATAGCGACATTGAATTGTCCTAGTCAGTAGAAGGGTTTTCGGAAGTATGAGGACCAGTGTACAGATCCTGGTGGCATTTTCTTTATTCAGAACTTCAGTAGAAACACTTCATCAGGGTTCTGAAAATTGTTACACTGTGGCCATAGGGTGCGTGTGATCTTTGGATTTTTGTCTAGGTTCAAACTCAAACCGCTTTGCGCCGTGGCGAAAAAACTTTCAATTGTATCCTACATTGTAGAACCTTTCTAATAAAAGTTCGAACTTTGGGAAGTTAGAAAAAATATCACACGCGCCCTTCGGCTTAGGGTAATTTTTTTGAAACTATGGAAAACCCTGATGGAAAATAATTTAATCTGTATGAATAGGATCGTAGTCTTAGGATGGTAGCTTCCTGTCGTAGCGGAAGTCTTATATTAGTGACTTGTAACAGGATCAATGTCTCTGAAATCAAGTATATTATAAAATGACAAGCATACAGAATATATAACTAGACTAAAGTACCTGTTCGCCTACTGTGCTGTATTTATTCGCGCTATTCCTGTTCTGAAACGGTACGTGACTATTCGCGATACCTACAGCTACTGCTGACGTCATCCTAGGGCGCGTAGCGCTTTGCTGACGTCAGTCTATCGGTACTTTTACTGTACTAACTATACTACACGAATTCCTTGAAGTGCATAAACCTCGATATTATCTCAACACTCCCCTTCACTTCTAGGAGTTCGGTGTAGTCATCCTGTTGACTCGGAAATACCACTGAGCTGGTTGCAGTGATGAAATTTCTGACGCGTCAGCTTCTTAGTAAGCGAATCAGCGGCCATGTCACTGGTGGGGCAGTAGACAAGGCGCATTCTCCCCTTGTCGATCGCGTCTTTTACGAAGAAGCAGCGAAATATGCTTCGTGCGATTAACGAAACCAGGCTTGTTGGCGATGGTAATTGCACTCTGGTTGTCGCACTGCAACGTGAACTGATTCGGCGTGACGAATTTTGCTTCGTCAAGCAATTCCTGCGAGTACAGACCTTCGCGAGTTGCAGCACAAGCGGCGATGAATTCTGCTTCAGCCGAAGAAAGTGACACCAGTTCCTGTTTCGAGGAATTCCAGGAAATCGGACCAATCGGCTCGAGACGAAAAATATAACCCGTGCGTGACCGTCGATCTGACGTGTCGCCAGCGTGGTCCGCGTCAACGTACCCGCTGAGGTACATTTTGTCGGTCGGCTTCCCAGCATTGAAAATCAATCCAAGTGTTGGTGTAGAGACGAAGTAACGTAACGCACGCTGTAAGTCGAGAGAGTGTTCTTCTTTCGGGCAGCGTAAAAACTGCGCAAGGTGACTTGCGACGTAGGCAAGATCAGGGCGACAGGTGACTGCTGCGAAAAGAAGACATCCCAGCTGCTGCTGATACAGTTGAAGACCAGCTGCTGACAGATTTTTCAGGTTGGGAACGTGCCCGGTGAGTGTAGACCGATAAGGTGTAGCAACGAAATCCGTGGGGATGTTGAAACGCTCAGCGAGTGACTCCGCATACTTCGAAGCCGTGAGATGAATAGCGGAAGAAGTTCGCGAAACGTTTAACCCCAGAAACTGAGTTACTTTGGTGGAAATGGTTAAGTCAAGTGACTTCTTCAGATCAGCTTCGATACGATCACCCAGCGAAGTAGACGAACTGACGTAGAGGATGTCGTCCACGTAAGCCACTAACAACGCATAGCTCCCCTTGTCGTCTAGCCGGTACATCCCTGGATCGTGTGGCAGTTGTCTAAACCCAACCTCCGTCAGCTTCCTGTTCAAATGCTGCTGCCACAGTCGCGGTGCTTGTTTGATTCCGTACAGTGATTTTTTGAGCTTGCAGACACTCGGCGGATTTGTCGGATAGGTGTGTGGATATTCGACGTAGATTTCGGCATCGACGTCGGCGTACAGAAAAGCGTTGGAAACATCGATTTGTCGAAGTGGAAAATTCTTCGCGGCTGCTTCGCAAAGAACGAGTCGAACACTCGTATGTCGACTGACCGGGGCGAAAGTAAGTGTGTAGTCGATCCCATGAGTCTGATCAAAACCACGAACCACCCATCGTGCCTTGTGTTTCTCGTAAGTACCATCCGCTTTAGTCTTCACCCTGAAGACCCACTTACCGGTAAGAACATTTTTGTTTACCGTTTTTTCAATGGGTATAAGATCCCAAGTTCCCCTTTTCTCCAGGGCAGCCAGTTCGCGATCCATTGCTTCACGCCATTTTTCGAGATGAGGCCCTGAGAGAGCTTGTCGGGCAGTTTTCGGCTCCAAATTCACTGTAGAACTGTGCTGTACCGCTGCTGCGAGTCCCAAAATTTGCAGTCCGGTTTGATAATGCGGATTATCGTCGGTGCGACCTGCGAAATTGACAGAATCATTCTGGTCTCCACTTGCCCCCCCAATTTCGTCAGGGTTGACACGGATGCTGCTATCAGAAACCACCGGCATTGGTTGGCGTTGTTCATCCACGAGGTAAGTATGATGAACATCCCGAACATCCTCAGGTGCCGTTTCAGCAAGAGGAATAAACTCCGGAATTCCGGATGACGTGACAGGGACAGGTGGGTCGGGAGCAGCTTCACGTGCACCGTCAGAGTCAGGTTCTTCGCAGGCAGCAATTTCGACATCGGCGTTAGCAAACGAACGAACACCGTGGAAAAGCGTGGCAGGGTTTTGCTGTGAAGCAAGATGCTGTTCGAAGACGGGCAGCGTCAGATTCTCGTAGAAAATACAGTCGCGAGCAGGAACAAGGAGACGACTGCGATGATCCATGATACGCCAGGCAAAATATTGTTTTTCAATGCCGAGATGCAGCCCCCACTTAGCACGCTGATCGAACTTCCCGAGCGGAGCGGTAGGAGGACGGTACTGAACAACACATCCGAAAACACGAAGTAATTTAGTTGTACCCAACTTGCCCGTCCACAGCAAGTGGGGTGATGCGTTGTTGGGCAGGGCCGAGGACGAAAGAAGATTGTGCAACAGCGTTGCATGGTCCATGGCGAAAGGCCAGTAGAGTGGGCCGAGTTGAGCCTGGGCAAGAAGGGCTCGCATCTTCTCTTGCAGAGTCCTGTTGAGCCTCTCTGCTACGCCACCCTGCTGATGAGCGTGAGGCAACGAAAAAAGTCGTCTTATCCCGCGTTCTTGCAGATAGGCCGTGAACTCAGTACTGCGATACTCGCCAGCGCCGTCACACTGAAACGCCTTGAGCGTAGTATCAGACTCTCGTTCGGCGAGAGGAAGCCAGGTGCGGAAAGCTGTAAACGCAAGAAAACGGTTAGTCATGTTTCCAGTCCAAACGTAACGAGTAGAAGCGTCTGTAAATGTGATAACGTAGCGTTCGCCGTTGAAACCATCCGCAGGTAAGTTGAGTATATCGCTATAAACCTTATCCATCAGATGATAATCTTCAGCTCCAGGGAAATGAGTCGGGAACGGCTCGTGCGGTAGATTTGCCGCAGGGCAGATGGTGCAGGGTGCCGGGCGATTCACCGGCTTCAGTTCGAGACCGCTCGGTAAGAGTAACGAATTCTTGTCAAGCACTGCAGCCTTGATCGTGTTGTTTAGCGTAAATTGCGACGGATGACCAAGTCGCTTATGCCATGTTTCTCCCGTGGCTTTGTGACCTTGTGCGCGCAGATAATACTCGGCGTTAGCGAAGAACGACA